TGCCACCACGCCCGGCTAATTTTTGTATTTTTAGTAGAGATGAGGTTTTACCATGTTGACCAGGCTGGTCTCAAACTTCTGACTTCAGGCGATCTGCCCGCTTTGGCCTCCCAAACTACCGGGATTCTAGGCGAGAGCCACCGTGACCAGACAGAATTTTTGTTTTTGACATTATAGATAATTAGATGTGCAGAGAAATCTCTGTCAATACAGACTACCTTGAAGTGTTGAGTGAACTTTTAATAAATACAGAAAAAATAATTTTTTCTTTTCTTTTTTTTTTTTTGAGATGGAATCTAGCTCTGTCACCCAGGCTGGAGTGCAGTGGTATGATCTCAGGTCACTGCAACCTCTGCCTCCTGGGTTCAAGTGATTCTCCTATTTCCACCTTCTGAGCAGCTGGGATTACAGGGGTGTGCCACCACGCCTGGCTAATTTTTGTATTTTTAGTAGAGATGAGGTTTTACCATGTTGGCCAGGCTGGTCTCAAACTCCTGACCTCAGGTGATCTGCCCACTCTCAGCCTCCCAAAGTGCTGGGATTACAGGCGTGAGCCACCATGCCTGGCCCAGAAAAAATACTTTTTTAAAGCATGGCTGAGCTGACAGGAAAATAAAGGAGGCCAGAATAGGTGGAGGTCAGAAGGAGGAGGACCCATCACTGGGCACGGGGGCTCACACCGGTAATCCCAGCACTTTGTGAGGCTGAGGTGGGTGGATCACGAGGTCAGGAGCTCAAGATCAGCCTGACCAACATGGTGAAACCCCATCTCTACTAAAAATAGCCGAGTGTGGTGGTGCATGCCTGTAATCCCAACTAAGGAGGCTGAGGGAGGAGAATCACTTGAATCCAAGAGGTGGAGGTTGCGGTGAGCCGAGATCACACCACTGCACTCTACCCGGGACGACAGAGTGAGACTCTGTCTCAGAAAAAAGGAGGAGGACGACCCAGAAAGAGAGCAAGACCAGTGAGTGGCATTTGCCCTGAGGGCCTAAGCTAATCCCAGGTGGTCTAGAGCCGGGAATTTTTATTATTTTTATTTTTTAGAGAAGGAGTCTCTGCTTTGTTGCCCAGGCTGGACTTGAACTCCTGGGCTCAAGCAATCCTCTTGCCTCAGCCTCCCAAATAGCTGGGACTGCAGGTGAGCAGCTGCACACCTGGCTTTAGAGTCTGGATTTTTAATTTGCCTCAGGCAGCCTAAAGGAAAGAAGGAAAGAAGGCCCCAGACTAGCATGGTGGAAGGGCAGATCAAGACTAGCGGTGGCCTGGAATCCCGGCACTTTGGGAGGTCAAGGCGGGCAGATTGCTGGAGGTCAGGAGTTCAAGATCAGCCTAGCCAACATGGCGAAACCGCATCTATACTACAAATACAAAAATTAGCCAGGTATGTGGTGCCCGCCTATAATCCCAGCTACTCGGGAGGCTGAGGCAGGAGAATCGCTTGAAGCCGGGAGTTACAGTGAGCCAAGATCACACCTCTGCACTCCAGCCTGGGGGACGGAGCAACACTCTGACTCAAAAAAATAAAAAATAAAAAAAGACTCTTGCATAATGCTGGGGGCCCAAAGAGGGGGAACTGCCGAGAATGAAGAAAAGCAACCCTGACTTTGCTGAGAAGAGGCTTTTGTGTCTTGACTGCAGCATTGGGCAGGATGCAGCGTGGAGAATCTCCTACAGGAGTCCTTAACCACCAGCACTTACCACTCGCATGAACTGATGGCTGAAATCCATCCTATCTTTGCGGCCCAGAAATCCTAAGCTGAAAATTTAAGTTTGAAGGGGTCAGTCTTGGGTCGGTAATACCCCTAGGAACCTGGAAGAAGCAAACTCGAATCTTCTCTAGAAGAACACACTTTAAATCCAGGCCTCAAATTAAAAAAAAAATTAGCTGGGTATGGTGGCACGCACCTGTAGTCCCAGCTATCTGGGACACTGAGGTGGGAGGATCACTTGAGCCAAGGAGGTCAGGGATGCAGCAGGGAATGATCATGTCACCGCACTTCAGCCTGGGCCAAAGAGTGAAACCGTCTTAACAAACAAACAACAAGGATGGGTGATGTGGCACATGCCTGTAATCCCAACACTCTGGGAGGCCAAGGCTGGTGGATCACCTGAGGTCAGGAGTTCAAGCCCAGCCTAACACAGTGAAACCCTGTCTCTACTAAACACAAAAAAATTAGCCCGGTGTGGTGGCACATGCCTGTAATCTGAGCTATTCGGGAGGCTGAGACAGGAGAATCACTTGTACCTGGGAGATGAAGGTTGCAGTGAGTGGAGATCGTGCCACTGCACTCTAGCCCAGGCAACAAGAGCGAAGCTCCATCTCAAAAAAACAAAAACAACAAACAACAACAACAACAAAGATGCCTCAAAGAATGTCCATAAAGTTCTGAAGTGCAGGGATCTATCATACAAAAATCACTAAACACAAAGAAAAGTAAGCCACCATGAGCAAGTCAGCAGAAAACAGTAAGCTGCAGAATCAGCCCCACAGCTTGAGTTCAGGTCTGACTCAGGAGCCTGGAACTTTGCTCTGGGAAAGGCTGCTGGTGCTCCCAGCCCACTTGCTAAAGCCCAGGCTGGGGCCTTGCCCTTGTCCCTGACTGTATGTCACCAGCTAAGGAAGCTGATAAGCTCAGGGACAAACAAGCTCACAGGTTAAAATAAACAGATATTTTAAGAGTACGAGCACATCAAAGGAGACAAACTGTCCTACATAAACCAGAATGGAACAAGACCGATCAGGACTCTAGGCACAGCGAAGACCCTCATGGAGATAAGAGGATGATTAACGAGGAACAAGCAGTGACATAGACTCCAGTGGAAACGCTGATACAAAGTTGGTAACAGACTCAGAAGAGCGGGGGAAAAAAAAGAATAGTTGAGCTGGGCGCGGTGGCTCACACCTATAATCCCAGCGCTTTGGGAGGCTGAGGTGGGTGGATCGCCTGAGGTGAGGAGTTCAAGACCAGCCTGGCCAAAATCATGAGACCCCATCTCTACTAAAAATGCAAAAATTAGCTGGGCATGATGGTGGGTACCTGTAATCCCAGCTACTGAGGAGGCTGGGGCAGGAGAATCCCTTGAACCCGGAGGTGGAGGTTGCAGTGAGCTGAGATTGCACCATTCACTCCAGCCTGGGCAACAGAGCGAGACTCTGTCTCAAACAAACAAACAAAAACAAAACAAAACAAAATGAAAAACAAACAAGAATAGCTGTAAAATGAACGATGATATAAATCAATTGAAGACATTTTCCTAGCTGGTACTGAAAAGTAATAAGGAGATGGAAAATACCAAAGAACATTTAAGAGATATGGAAAATATCAGTGTCAGTAACTGCCTAATATGAGTTCCAGAAAAAGAGAAAACGGATGTAAGAAAGAGACTATATTTAAAAATTGTGTGAATGTTTCCTGCCAGGAACCAAAAAAAAAAAAAAAAAAAAAAAAAATAAAAAAAAAAAAAAAAAAAAAAAAGAACCTTAAGTGTGAAGTTTTAAAGATTAATCTAAAGACCAGCCTGGGCAATGTACTGAGATCCTGTCTCTAAAAAAAATTAAAAATCAGCTGGGCGTGGTGGTGTGCACCATATAGTTCTAACTATTTTGGAGGCTCAGGTGGGAGGATCATTTGAGCCTGGGAGGCTGAGGCTGCAGTGAGCCAGGCACTCCAGCTTGGGAAGCAGAGCAAGACTCTATCTCAAATAATAATAATGATTAATGATAAAATGACTTCAATGCAAAGGTCTTGTGGGACATCAAACAATAGATAGGGAAAAACCTAAACTTTGACATACAGTAATGAAATTTAGGAAAATCAAAGACCATAAAAAAAAATTCAAAAAGCTTACAGAAAGAAGGAATATAGTTCACAAAAGAATCAAAACTGGATTAGCATTGGTTTTCCTAACAGAAAAATTGGAGACAAAAAGCAATGAAATTATATATATAATTTATATATGTAATTATATATATATAATCTTTTTTTTTGAGACAAGAGTTTCACTCTTGTCACCCAGGCTGGAGTACAGTGGTGCGATCTCTGCTCACTGCAACCTCTGCCTCCTGGGTTCAAGCGATTCTCTAGCCTCAGCTGCCTGAGTAGCTGGGATGACAGGCCCCTGACACCACGCCCTGCTAATTTTTGTATTTGTAGTAGAGATGGGTTTCCAATATGTTGGCCAGGCTGCTCTCAAACTCCTGACCTTAGGTGATCTGCCTGCCTCGGCCTCCCAAAGTACTGGGATTACAAGTGTGAGCCACCGTGCGCAGCCATGAAATTACATTTCTAAGTGATGATGAAAAAGAACCTAGAAAATTACATCCCACTAAACTATTATTTATATGTGAAGAAGCAAAGATGATACTTTCAGACATACAAGGTTTTAACAAGTTTAAAACCAGCACAAAGGCCTCTTTGAAAACTCTCCTGGAATGTGCTTTTATACTTAATACAAGTACCTTGTACTTAATATACTGAGAACTTACTAAACACAGGAAAAGATGTTCAACACCATTAGTTATTACGAAAAGTCAAATCCAAAGAACAAGATACCTTTATACCCCCAGGAGATGATAGCCATAATTTAAAAAAATGAAAACTGACAAACGCTGATGAGAACATAGAGGAACGGGAACTCTTACACCTTGACGGTGGGAATGTGAAATCGTTCCGCTACTGCGAAAAGAGTTTGGTAGTTCCTCAAAGGAAACATAGTTACCATAAAATCCAGCAATTCCACTGCCAGGTCCATACCCAAGAGGACTGAAAATATATATCCACACAAAAACTTGTGCACAAAGGCGCATTATTCATAATAGCCAAAAAGTGAAAACAGCCCAAGTGTCTATCAGCTGATGAATGGGTAAACTGTGACATATTCATACAATGAGATATTATTTGGAGTATAGATATCTGGATACTAAATTGAATACTAGACAGGGAAAACATCACAAAGAAAAATGAGGGGCATCATATTGGTAAAAGAACATTGTATCAGTGCTCCCTTTGGCAGCACATATACTAAAACTGGAACAAAACAGAGATTAGCATGGCCCTGTACAAGGATGATATGCAAATTCATGAAGCATTTCGTATTTTTTAAAAAATAACATTATATCAAAAAGATATAACCATAATGAACATATATGCATCCAAAAACATTCATGGTTATTTGAAAAGTTATTAAAAAGGAAGAATAACAAGAATGATTAAGATGATGCATCTAAACAAAGCACAGCATGAAAATGGAAACAAACATACAGGAGATTACCATAAATTAAAAATCGGCTGGGTGCAGTGGCTCATGTCTGTAATTCCAGCACTTTGGGAGGTCAAGGTGGGCAGATCGCCTGAAGTCAGGAGTTCGAGACCAGCCTGGCCAACATGGTGAAAACCCGTCCCTACTAAAAATACAAAAATTAGCCAGGTGTGGTGGCTCACACCTGTAATCCCAGCGCAGCACTTTGGGAGGCTGAGGCTGGCAGATCAGGAGTTCGAGACCAGCCTGACCAACATGGTGAAATCCATCTCTACTAAAAATTAGCCGAGTGTGGTGGCACATGCCTCAGTAATCCCAGCTACTTGGGAGGCTGGGGCAGGAGAATCGCTTGAACATGGGAGGCGGAGGTTGCAATGAGCAGAGATCACGCCACTGCACTCCAGCCTGGGCAACAAGAGTGAAACTCTGCCTCAAAAAAAAAAGAAAAAGAATTTCTGTCAGTGTTGATTGTATATAGGTATTATGGGAAAAGCACTTGATCGAATTCAATTCATGTATATAATCAACCTTCCCAGAAAATTAGGAATAGAACTTCCTTAACTTCATAAAAACTGTACACCAAAAATCTAGAATAATGCCATACTTAATGGAGAAGGCTTAGATAAATAAGGAAAAAGACTGTAATGTTCCCCATTACTGTTTAGCATAACATCCAAGGACCAATCTAATGCTCTAAGACAAGCTGTAAAAAGTGAAATTGAAAGAGGAGATAAAACTGTCATTATTTGTAGATTATATGATCATTTATATTGAAAAGCTAATAAAGTAATCAGATGAGTTATTAGAATAACAGTTTAGCAAAATTGCTGGATATAAAAATCAACTTTAAAGGATCAATAACATTCTTTAATACCAATAACAAACCAGAAAACAAAGAACAAGATACAATTCATGGAAGCAGCAGCCATAAAGTATCTAGAAATCAATATATAAATAAGACCTTCATAGAGAAGTTTTAAAAGCTTTATCGGAAGACACACACACAAAAAGATCTGTAACTCAAAGTTTCTATTATTCTTCTTAAACCACTCTACAGGCCTCAAAGAATGTGAATTTAATGCAAATTCAATCCGAATCAATATTTCAACTTGATTTTAAATGGAACTGGAAAATTTTATTCTAAAATGTATATAGAATAAAAATCCATAATTAGTTGGGCCAACATAGAGTAACAGAGATGGGACTCTCTTTACTAGATATTAAGGGATATTATAAGTCTATGGTAATAGAAAACAGTAAGATATTGGTGTGGAAATAAAAAGAATGGAACAGAACAGAGCTCAAAAATAGATCCTTCCATATATGAGAACTGGACATATGATAAAAATGGTACCACGAATTAATGGGTGAAGTATTGATTTGCTGGATGGTGTTGGGAAAATTGCTTCACTAAATATGGAAAATACAGCTGGATCCCTACATTACACAATAAACAAAGGTGGATGGCAGATGGATTGTAAACGCAAATGTGAAGGCAAAACTATAAAGTTCATAGGAGAAAATGCTGGAGTATATCTTTGTGGTGTAGGGCTAGGGAAACATTTCATCAGTAAACTACCCAAAAAAACATAAGACAAAAAGTAGATTAATTAAAAGGCAAGGATTTCTGTTCAATAAAGGATGCCACAGACAAATTTAAAAGACGCGAAACAGACAAAAGTAACTGACACATCTAAAACTGATAAGAGATTAATATTCACAACAAGAAACCAAAATGCAATTGCACAATCAGCAAAGATCAACATGCAATTGACAGAAGGGAAGACTATCACCTAGTTCTTGGTAAAAAGGAATAGAAGATAACCTAGTTATCCACTGTGAGGGGAACAGGTATGTATAATATGGTGGCTGCACTCTAGGGAACCTGTGCAGCAGTAAGAAGCAACATGCAAAATGCACATATAGCAACATGGATACATGTAAGTGAGAAAAGCAGAAAATAGTAAAAATGAATACCACAGTACCATTTGTATTGATTAAAATTGTATACACGCAACACAATACTACTTACTTCAAAGAATGCCTGCATAACACGGGGTATGCACCAAACAATTAAGAGTGGTGCCTTTGGGACAGAGCAGAGTGAGGACTAAGGAAGAGGATAAACTGAACGGATAATGAAGGGAATGAGTTCTCGAACTGACTGATGATGACAATGTGCTATGAATCAAGACATATGATTGATGCGTTACTTTGCATTTCAGTACAAAGTAAAAAGAAATTATCCACAGCACATACTCACATATAGTTTGAAACTACAGCAGGTGTTTGGCTGCAGAAAGAGAGGTTGCAGCTGTGAGGGACTGCCTGCAGAGCCACACCCTTGGAATGGCAGTGCAGAGACAGCTGGATCGTGGTGACATGGAATCACTCTATGACACTTCATCTAAACCAAGTACCTGTAAGACCACTCAGATGAACCAGAAGATTCCCTTGACCTTTTAAGCCGGGGGTTTCTGATACCTGTGATGAAAGAATTTTAACTGTTATCTATCTTTGCCTGTACTTTAGGTGATAACTACCCCGGATTTTAAACAACACTATGGCTTCACTTCTATACCTCTGGGAAATCAGGGGAGCAAGAGGAAGCACACATTTAAGAAGTAAAAAGAGAAGAGAGAATAATAGTAGCCACCATGTATAAGCTCTTATTATGTGCTAGGCACTGTGCTAGGTGCTTTCCATACCTTGTCTCTAAACAATATAACTGCCTGGGGTCTCATCCCTGTGCAGATGAGGAAATGGCCTTGAAAGGGCAAGTGTCTTGTCTAGAGTAATGCAGCTTCATAGTGGAGTCTTATGAACCCGCCTTTCTGCTGTCAATCTGTTCTTCACACCATGCCACCTTACTAGGAAAGATGATGGGGAAATGAAGAAGGAACAAACACAGAGATACAGAAGAGGCTAATTTACCGAGGCAGAAAAAACAAACTGCACCTAGGCACATATGGAAGCACGATGATTTCTGAGCTAAGAACACCCATGACACGTCAGAGTATGCCTGCCTGAGAGGAGATTGTCATTGTCCTTTGGAAAAGGACATATTCCTTTGGAAAAAAAAAAAAACAAAACACACAGGGTCTTGTTCTGTGTCCAGGATGGAATACAGTGACATGATCATAGATAACTGCAACCTCAACCTCCTGGTTTCAAGTGATCCTCCCACCTCAGCCTCCCAAAGCAAAACAAATCTTTATTTTAAATAAAGCAGTTTAATGTGTTTCCCCTCCAAGCCAAATCTGATGTTAGGATATACTAAGGTCTGAGTGAAAGAAAGAAATTCCTTTCTTTCAGGCTGGACGTGGTGGCTCACGCCTGTAATCCAAGCACTTTGGAGGCCAAGGCGGGCGGATCATCTGAGGTTGGGAGTTCAAGACCAGCCTGACCAACATGGTGAAACCCCATCTTAAAAAAAAAAAAAAATAGAAAAAGAAATTCCTTTCCCTTTCTTCCAGTGATGAGACAGGGAGAGGCCCCTTCCCATTTCTTTCTCCCTCTCTTCAACCAAAAACTCACCTATCTGTTTGTTACACAAAACAATTAACTCATGTTATTCACGTTCACTGAAAATAAACTTAGGTAAAAGGAAAAATAAGAAAAAGTACTGATACCACCACTCTGCTTTTTTGGGTGCATGTTCTTTTGTATATTTTCTAATGCATTTATGTACATACACATATATTTACACTTACAATCACCTAGGATGGAGTGCAGTGGCATGATCTCTGCTCACTGCAAGCTCTGCCTCCCGGGTTCAAGCGATTCTTGTGTCTCCCGAATAGCTGGCATGCACCACCACACCCAGCTAATTTTTATATTTTCCATAGAGATGGGGGTTCACCATGATGGCCAGGCTGGTTGTGAACCCCTGCCCTCAGGTGATCCACCTGCCTTGGCCATCTTTTAAAATTTAATATTAGTTGGAATTACATGAAAAAAGTGTCCCATCCTGCCAAATACTCTTGGTAGAAATATCAGTTTTTAAAAACCATGTTTAACGACGACACCTTTATATGGTAACATACATTTACAAGATGGTGAAAACGTGGTAAGGTATAGTTGAATTACGTTACCACAGGGTTTTTTGGTTTTGTCAAAAAGCATCTTGAAGGTACGTACTGCTGACAAGAACACACTTTTGCAAAACTGCCCTGATGTGTTAGCTAAAGGCACTTACAGTCCCCCTCATCCCCTAATGCATGAGGTCCGTGCCTTTTTGCATTTTAGTTCATCTTCATTACAACACACTGAAAATACTTAAAAGGAAAAAATAAAAAGCACTCACATCACTCTATATTTTGCAGTGTATGTCCTTTTTGATATTTTTTTCTACACCCCCATTTCATCGATAACCTTTTTGATATTTTCTATGCAGATCGCACATACACTTATAAATGACTGTTCACTTTCTCTGACAAGTTGCTTTCTCTTCATCCTTCCCCCACCCCTTACCTACTTTTTTTTTCTTTTCTTTGAGACAGTCTTGCTCTGTCTCACTGCAACCTCCGACTCCCTGGTTCAAGCAATTCTCCTGCCTCAGCCTCCCAAGTAGCTGGGATTATGGGCACGTACTACCACAACCAGGTAATTTTTCTATTTTTAGAAGAGATGGGGTTTCACCATGTTGGCCAGGATGGTCTCCATCTCCTGACCTTGTGATCTACCCAAAGGCACTCTCGGCCTCCAAAAGTGCTAGAATTACAGGTGTGAGGCACCGCGCCTGGCCTCTTACCTGAATTTCTAAGGTTGAATTATTTTTATATGATTCCCACATCTACATTTCAAGTCCTGACCATAGTAGCATCACGACATACACACAT